TCTTAATACTTTTTATTATTAACAGTGCACTATTATAACAAAGGATATCGATAAAAACTATTAGACAGTAGCTCGTTTGAGATTTTAGGTTATAGTGAGATTGCCGTTTCATTGTTAATTTCCCAGTATTCCCTTTAGGTATGGTACAAATAATATTACTATAGTAATCTGAGATTATAAAGAATAAACCTACAAACATTTACAATTTTTAGTGGTGTCACCTTTGCTTAATTATTTTAAGCAGATAAAATGGAGATGGACGAACAATCCTCGAGCAAATCAGAGAGCAGTGAGGATGCAAATGTATCAGATGATGACGATTATTATGGCGACACTAAAAGTTTTTAGAACTGGCTACTTGTAAAAGGTATAATAAAAAAATAAGTTAAGTGTATGTATTTTATTAATTTGTTATTTGTTTACGATTTGGCGGAAAATTGAAAATGGTCTGTGTCACGTCAGCATGAATTTAACGCGAGAAAATTTTCGTACAATGATTTTTATGACTTTCGATGTCATTTAAGTCACCAAGAAAGTTATGACAGACTTCGATTGACTTTTCACGATAAAGCCCCATCTCGTGCCACTCTTTACAACTGGTTTAATGAGTTTAAACGTGGTCGCACTAATCTCACCGATGATCTGCGTGAGAGACGGCCCTCTACGGCGACGACTTAAGATAACATCAGTGTTGTGCGGCGTATGTTAGAGACTGACAAAAGAGTGACTTATCAGCAAATTCGGACAAGCTTAGGCATCGGTATGAGTCAAGTGCACACAATCCTCCATGAACATTTCGTGGTCACGAAGCTTTGTATCCGGTGGATACCTCATAATTTGACAGAGGCCCAAAAACTCCGTCGTGTTGATTGGTGTCGTAAAATGGTTCATATATTTAACGGAGGTGACTCAAATGCTGTGTTCAACATACTTACGGGTGACGAAAGCTGGATTTAATGTTATGATGCTGAAACTAAGAGGCAGTCTGCTGAGTGTTTGCTTCCGAGGAGTTGCCAACTAAAGTGAAAAGAGGTCGAAGCGTGGGAAAAAAGATGGTAGCATCGTTCTTCGGAAGGATAGTTCATTACGCAAAAATTGTTTTCGAGTATCGAAAAACAGTTATTGCAGTTATTAGTCTGGACATTGCGAAGGCCTTCGATCGGGTTTGGCACAAAGCGCTTCTTTCGAAGCTCCCTTCCTATGGGCTTCCCGAGAAATTGTGCAATTGGATCACCAGCTTCCTTGCAGATCGGAGCATCAAGGTCGTTGTAGACGGTGCATGCTTTGACTACAAGCCTATTAACGCTGGTGTTCCACAAGGCTGTGTGCTATCACCAACGCTGTTTCTTCTGCATATCAATGATATGTTGCTAACTGGTAACATTCATTGCTATGCGGATGACAGCACTGGTGATGCTCTATACACCGGCCGTGCCAATATTTCTCGGGAAAACGTCGCTGAGTACCGGAACAAACTTGTGTCTGAAGTCGAGTCTTTGCTGAACAAAGTCTCGGATTGGGGGCGACTAAATCTAGTCCAATTTAATCCTCAGAAGACACAAGTTTGCGCGTTTACCGCTAAAAAGAACCCCTTTGTCGTATCTCCTCAGTTTCAAGGCACTCCCCTTCTTGCCTCAGCCAGTATCGGTATCCTCGGAGTCGACATATCGAGTGACGTGCAGTTTCGTGGTCACTTGGAAGGGAAGGCCAAATTGGCTTCTAAAAAGCTTGGCGTGCTCAGCAGAGCGGGACAGTATTTCATGCCGGCACACCGCCTGCTACTTTACAAGGCGCAAGTTCGGCCTCACATGGAATACTGTTCCCATCTCTGGGCAGGGGCTCCCCAGTGCCAGCTCCTTCCACTTGACCGCATCCAACGCAGAGCGGCTCGAATTGTCGACGACCGAGCCCTTTCCGATCGGCTCGATTCATTGGCACTGCGAAGAGATGTTGCATCCCTTTGCATTTTCTTTCGCATCTACCATGGGGAGTGCTCTGAGGAATTGTTCGGATTAATCCCAGCCGCCAAATTTCACGAACGCACATCGCGGCAGAACTCCCGATACCATCCACACCATCTGGATGATTGGCGGTCCACCACTGTGCGATTTAGAAAATGTTTTCTTCCTCGCACGACCTCCTTGTGGAATCGATTACCATCAGCGCTTTTTCCGGACCGATACGACTTAGGGACCTTCAAGAAAAGAGCGTACTCCTTTTTAAAAGGCCGGCAACGCATCTGCGATTCCCCTGGTGTTGCAGTTGTTCATGGGCGGCGGTAGTCACTTACCATCAGGTGAGCCGCATGCTCGTTTGCCCTCTCTCCTATAAAAAAAAAACACTCACAATTGTTTACCACTTCTCTTGGAAAAAGTTCAGGAGAAACGACTTCACAGCAGGATCCTCCTTCACCACGACGCCGCGTCGACAATCGACGTCGAAATAATCGACACCTGGCGACGTCAGACGTGGAATTACTAGGTCACCCGCCCTATAGCCCTGACCTCGCACCTTTCGATTTTTATTTATTACCAAAAATTCTCAGACGAAGAAGATGAAGAAGGAGAAGAGGAACTGGACCAGCTATATCGTGAGTGCACTGAAGATTATGTGGAGACGTTAGAAAATTTTACAGACAATCAACCTTCTACTTCACAGGCAGCTTCTTCAAGTAAGAAAAAAAAAGAAAGATAGAATGGTGTATTTGGATCTGAAACTTCCAGATGAAATAACGCAGCTAAAGGTGATATCAGACGGTTCATTTTTTGTTCATATTCACCTTTCATTCGGTACATTTCACTCGAAATGAAATGTCTGAACAAAAATGAAACACGAGTGCCGAATGAATTCATTAGTGAACCGATCCAACAGTGTTGGATATTGGCATCCGGTATCTTTCATTCCCACTCCGAATGAACGAGAAATGAACGGTCTGAACACTGAGAGAACGTTCATTCGGATTCGGCCATTTTGTTTCGAGTCCTATAGCCGACGGACATCACGTTGTCGACGAAGTTATATTTTTTTCTGTGTGTTATTATATTGTTTTCATGCGGCAAAATGGTGTTCAAGTGGAACGATCAAAATACATTACTTTTTTTGGAGAACTTTAGAAATTATCAATGCCTTTGGAACCACAAAATTGATTAGCTTGCCATGAAAGACATTTTATTTTATTATAAATGACGAGTCATTTTAATAGACGCTAGTAATTCATTTATTGGTATTTGTTAATCAATAATACCTAGTCAGGTCAGAAGTATTGTCACACAGTAAAAACTTTTCTTTTAGAATGCTGACCACAAAAAGTTTATTGAATTCGAATTTCGAATTGTTCATGAAAATAAAACTGTATACTTTTTAGAATTTTTAAATATGGAGTGGACGCTTAAAGAAGACCGTGTTGCAGTTATTGCGTTGCGTCGTTGCGGTTACGCGCCAATTCAAATTTTTGGCATACTGAAAAATTTGAATATAACCAAAAGATTCGTTTATCGTACCATCAAACGATACAATGAAGACTCTAGTGTAGATGACAGGTCAAAAAGTGGTCGCCCTCGGTCTGTTAGGACTCCAGCAGTGATAAAAGCTGTGAAGGTGCGAATTCAAAGAAATCCCAAACGTAAGCAGAAACTGTTGGCCCTTCAGATGGGGTTAAGCAGAACCACGGTGAAAAGGGTGTTAAATGAAGACTTAGGGCTTCGGGCATATCAAAGAAAAACAGGACATCGTTTGAATGCTCGTCTAATGGACCTGAGACTGAAGAGATGCCGCGCTTTGTTGAAGCGGTACGCGAGAAAAAAATATCGGGAAATTATTTTTTCGGGTGAAAAATTTTTTACCGTAGAGGAGAGCTACAACAAACAAAATGATAAGGTGTACGCACACAGTAGTGAAGAAGCGAGCAACCGTATTCCGCGTGTCCAACGAGGTCATTTTCCATCCTCGCTCATGGTATGGTTGGGAGTTTCTTATTGGGGCTTAACAGAGGTACATTTTTGTGAGAAACGTGTAAAAACGAATACAGTTGTGTATCAAAATATAGTCCTGACGAACCTTGTGGAACCTGTTTCTCATACCATGTTCAATAACAGGCACTGGGTATTCCAACAAGATTCGGCGCCAGCTCATAGAGCGAAGAGCACACAAGACTGGATGGCGGCGCGTGAAATCGACTTCGTCCGGCACGAAGACTGGCCCTCCTCCAGTTCCAGCAGTAAATCCGTTAGGTTACAAGATATGGCAACACTTGGAGGAAAAGGCGTGCTGAAAGCCTCATCCCAATTTGGAGTCACTCAAGACATCCTTGATTAAGGCAGCTGCCGATATTGACATGGACCTCGTTCGTGATACGATAAACGACTGGCCGCGCAGATTGAAGGCCTGTATTCAAAATCACGGAGGTCATTTTGAATAAATTTTAGTGTCATAAGAATCTATATTTTGTTAAGTTCATTTTGGTATATAAATGGTTACATAATGAATAAACTTGTTTCAACTATGTTATATTAAACATGTGACAAAATTTATGACCTGACTAGGTATAATACGTTAATCAATAATATAATGTGTTAATCAATAATAATATACTACTGAAGAAACTTCGCTCCAACCAAGTGTTTCATGACAATCACACATGATTTATTTTATTAAAGATATCAAATTAGTAACAGTTTTGTTGAGACGAAATACTTTTTGAACCAATGATTTGTTTCTTATCATTAGCTCTTCTTCTCGTGATAATTTAATCCTCGCTTGCACACTTATCAGCGAAAAAGATTTGAATGGGGGAAGTACTTTTGTCCATGACCTAAAAGAGTAAAAATCTCTTACAATGTATATTTTTATAATGGACTAGTTAGTTGTGAAAATGCTATAGTCAGAACTAAAATCACAATTGAACTTTAAAAAACTGAAACACTGAAAAAATTTTGGCATAATATGTAGTTAACAATTTAATAGACCAACAAAGCATGCTGATGAAATTAAAATTTCATTACTATTTAGATGTTATAGTATCATCAATGTTCATATTATCTTTTTCCGATTCCATAATGTTTCAAAAGACAGTGTTTTTTTTTTACAAACAGGAACATTTACATTTTCTTTTGTAGCATCACGCAGCGGCCAAGATACCTAAAAAGACATGAATATCTGAATTTCCAACACTGAAGAGCAATATATTTATACATTAAGGTAGCAATTTAATAATAATTATAATCATTTATTTCAGGCAATATTTACATTACATGATGTTAATCAATGTAAACAGAGGCCAAATTTAATAAATAATTAAAAACATGTTAATGGCTAATTGTGTAAATTATAAGAGCACTTAAATGACTGCAAGATGGCACGTCTAACATAGTTTCCTAGGTTCATTTAGAAGCTGCACTCGTTGCATATTCTTAATTTGACTGCAAATATAGTTTGTTTTCCACAACTCCGCATCTAAGTGCGTATTTTCCAATTATAATTAAGTAAGTATTAAATTAAACCTGTGGTTGGAGGTTCAAAGGACTGCCATAGCCTTAATCCAGGAGCCATGGGTTGGGGCTGGTAAAATTAAAGGCCTAAACAACCTAAAAGGTAAGTTATTCTACAGCTCTGAACACGACAAGCCTAGAGCGTGTATTTACACTACTAAAGATATCTGTGCACAACCTTTAACAGATTTCTGTTCTAGAGACATGTATGCCGTAGCAATACAGTACACACAGGAGAGTAGATTAGTCGTCGCCTCGGTCTACATGCCGGAGGAAGACACTCCTCCCCCTCATGACCTCAGCAGGCTGGTGAACTTCTGCGAGAGGACCGGACTAGAGGTTGTGATCGGGACGGACTCCAACGCACATCATCCCCTTTGGGGAATGGAAAAACCAAATGAACGAGGTAAAGTTTTAGTTGAATATTTATTTAGTACCAACCTAACCATTTTAAACATAGGTTCTGAACCTACTTTCATAAACAAACGCTGTCGCACTATAATCGACCTCACACTTGCAACAGAAGGAGCAGCCAAACTAATTACGGGATGGCATGTGTCGAGAGAGGCCTCATGCTCAGACCATAGATGGATCTGCTTCGCACTACAGGTCGATATCCCCTCTACACCACCATGGAGAAATCCCCGCAAGACAGATAAAACAAAATACCTAAATAGGCTGACGTCTTTGCTAGCGGATTTTGAGGGGATAAATACTATAGCAGATCAGTCACTCCTAGAAGAACAGGTAGCAGCTGTTACTAAGGCCATGATAGACAGCTACCATGAATCATGTCCAGAAATCACTCCACCAAGACATGCCGAGGTAAAACAACCGTGGTGGGGTAAAGAACTCGATAGAAAACGTAAGATGGTAAGAAAAGCTCTAAATAGGGCCATGAATACCTCAATGGATGAAGACTGGCTATTATATAAGAAAGCTAAGTCTGAATACAAAAAATGTATCAGGTATCGACGCTCGATTGGGTGGCGTAAATTCTGTGGCAACATAGAAACCTGCAAACAAGCAAATAGGATTAGGAATATTCTAGCTAAACAGAACACGTCGGGATCCATGTCTCTAAAGAAACCCGACGGTAGCTACTCAACATCGCCGGATGAAGCCCAACTGAACTGTAGCCCTTTGAAACATTACTTTATCTTCAAAAGGGACTACTGTGAAGATAATATTACAAAATTTAATGAATGTTTGTGTAGTATAAATTGGTCACATGTTTATAGTGAAAATGACATAAATATTGCATTTGATAATTTTCATGAACTATTCCTGCTAATGTATGAATTGTGCTTTCCTCAGACGCGCATTAAAATTCTGAACAAACCATCTAAACCTAGGTGGTTGACTAAAGGCTTAAAGATTAGTTGTAAAACGAAAAGAAAACTACAGTTACAATATTACAAACACAATAATAATGAAAACAAAATTAAATACATAAAATACACAAAACTCCTTAAAAAATGTTTTCGCCTGTCTGAAAAAATTAATAACTATAAGTTTGTGAAAAATTCAAAAAATAAGTGTAAAGCTGCTTGGAAAGTCGTTAAACAGGGATCTTATAAAAGTAATAAAGACTTATTTATAAATGGAATAGAGGTTGACAATAAATTAATTACAGATCCTACTAAAATCGCCGAGTCATTTAATGAATATTTCATTAGTCTTACTAATAGATCTCCCACTAATAAATATATTAACACAAATAAAACTACTATATCTAGCAGTATTTTTTTGAAGCCATATGGTTATGCCGATGTGATGAATATAATAAGGTCATTGAATGACACAAACGCAGTGGGATATGATTCAGTTGCCACGAAAATAATAAAATGTTGCAGTAAAGAATTAGTACAAATTTTAACCTACCTCATTAATCTTTCTTTTACTAATGGCAAATTTCCAGAGAGTTTAAAGAAATCTATAATAAAACCGCTCCATAAAAAAGATGATAAACGTCATATGTGTAATTATCGCCCCATAACTTTAGTGCCTATTTTTTCCAAAATATTTGAAAAAGCAATGTATAAGCGTATAATAGAATTCACCTCAAAATTTAATATAATAATAAATGAACAATTTGGGTTCCAAAGAAATAAATCAACTACCCATGCATGTTTTCATCTTGTAAAAAATGTTGTTAATAATTTAGATGACAAAAACCACACTTCTGTAATATTCATAGATATGAGCAAAGCCTTTGATTTCGTTTCACACAAACTTCTACTAAACAAACTCGACAACTTAGACATTCGCGGACCGGCATTAAATTGGATAGAATCATATCTTAAAGATCGAAAACAAAGTGTTGAAATTTCAAGGTTAAGTTATTATAAAGAACTTGAGCAGTATAAATCACCGTACCTAATTAATGGCTATGGCGTGCCACAGGGCAGTGTACTTGGTCCACTTTTGTTTTTGTTTTATATTAATGATATCTCTTATGTAACGAATAATTATTGACTTTATTTGCAGACGATATTGCTATGCTAATGACATGTAACAAAAAATCAGACATTGGTAAATTTGTAAATGACATTAATATTTCTTTGAAATTTATAATTGAATGGTTAGAACATAATAATTTACATATAAATATAAGCAAAACCAAGTTAATACATTTTTTTAATAAAAAAAATAATGAAACAAAGCTAAATATTGTATACAATGGCGAACAAATAAAACAAGTACAAGAAATTTCCTTTCTCGGTATACATATGGATACATTTTGTAACTGGAAAACCCACATAGAAAAAATATGTAATAAACTTAACCGCTTTGTTTACATATTACGGAACCTTAGAAAGACGGCATCGCAATCAACAGCTCTTATGGCGTATTACGGATACGTTTATTGTATACTTAGCTACGGTATAATAATATGGGGAAATTCTGTAGACATCAATAAAGTTTTCATTGCGCAAAAAAGATGTCTACGTGCAATATATAATATGGCCCCACATGAATCGTGCAAACCAATATTTATAAATTTAAAAGTGTTAACACTTCCTTGCATATACATCCTTGAAACAGCAAAATTTGTGAAAAATAATTCTGAGCTGTTTACAACTGCTGGAGATATTATCAAGTCCAAACCCTTAAGGAATCCAGATAAATTAGTCATTGATAAAATACCAAAAACAGTAAATTATCATAGAAATTGCTATGCAATGTGCATAAAAGTGTTTAACGCAATACCCAATAATGTAAAATTACTACCAAGGAAGCGTTTCGGGAACGAGTTGAAAAAGTGGCTTGTTAATAAATCTTTTTATTCGGTTAGCGAGTTGTTGGAAAAACAATAATTATCTTTATTTTTTTTAATAATAATATTTTGGTAATTATATATTATAATATGACATGAAATTATAAATATTAATGATATGATAATGCAAATAGTAGTAAATGTTTTTTTTTAATTAGGTCACATTATTTTTTGTTTTTGCTATTTCTTATGCAATGTACGTATTTTTTTTGTAATTTTTCATAAATTCATAATGTCATACTTAATGTTTATAAAATTCAATAATTTTGTACACCAGAAATGGTTAATGTGTTGTACTATATTTTCTATAACAACTGTAAAACACACACATTATGCAAAATAAATAAATAAATAAATAAATAAACGCATCCTAATTGAAACGCACTTCCCAGGTTGCTGCGTAACCCAGGAGGCAAACCGGCATGACGACATACTGACATCAACAGCAGAAGACTGGAATTTAGCACAGAGAGTGGTAACGATGGACAAAATCCATTGGGCCATTCACAGTTTCCTCCCCTATAAGGCGGCAGGACCCGACGGCATATTCCCGGCACTCCTACAGTGGGGGGGTAAAGCCCTAATAGTCAGACTTGCTGCCATAATGCGAGCCTGTCTTGCTCTTAAATATGTTCCTAGGGGATGGAGGGAAGTGAAAGTTACATTCATACCCAAACCAGGTAAGAGCGACTACACTGACCCTAAATCCTACAGGCCCATTAGCCTCACATCCTTTCTCCTAAAGACGATGGAGAGGATGTGTGAAAGGGAATTAAGGGGGTCGGCGCTAATGAACTTACCACTACACGACAAGCAACACGCCTACAGTCTAGGCAAATCAACAGAATCGGCCCTTCATAAGGTAATTACAAAGATTGAAGAGGCCATCCAAAACAAAGAAATAAGTCTAGGTTCCTTCATAGATATAGAAGGTGCTTTTGACCGAACGAACTTCTCCAGCATAAAAGGTGCACTCGGTAGACACAAAGTTGAACCGGCACTGATCGACTGGATAGTTTACATGCTCAGTACACGAATAATAAAGATTGCTGGTGAATCTCAACCAATCCAAATTAAGAAAGGCTGCCCGCAGGGTGGGGTTCTCTCACCTCTCCTGTGGAATATGGTCATTAATGAACTCATCAGCAAATTAAATGACAATCACTTCTATACAGTAGGTTATGCTGATGACCTGACAATACTGGTCTCTGGAAAGACAGCAAGCATAGTGTGCGACCTGACCCAAGCGGCTCTCCGTATAGTGGAGAGATGGTGCAGGGAACACGACTTAACCGTCAATCCAAATAAAACGGTTTTAGTTATGTTCACACAAAAACGAAAGCTGAATAACTATCATCCTCCAAGTCTTTTTAGCACAAAACTCCAGCTATCCTCTGAGGTAAAATATTTAGGTCTTACCTTGGACAGCAAACTTAACTGGAATAAACACATAGAAAACAAAATCAACAAAGCTAGTATAACTTTCTGGCAATGCAGAAACATGATTGGCAAAAGACGGGGATTGACGCCAAAAATCATACTGTGGCTTTACAAAACTGTAATTCGGCCCATGATCACATACGGCGCTCTGGTATGGTGGACCAAGACAAATGAAGCCACCATAATTAAAAAGCTTCAGCGCTACCAGAGACTGGCATGTATGGCTGCCACAGGCTGCATGAGAACTACGCCAACAGCAGCCTTAGAAGCGATGCTGGAGCTAACTCCGCTTCATCTACATATACAACAAGAAGCGACTTTAGCTGCCATCAGACTCAAGACCCTAAATCTTTGGAGTAAGAATAGTGTCCCTCATACAGGCATAATTGATAGAATTCACTCAAAAATTCCTATCCTACAAGCCAAATACGATAGGATTCCTAAACAATTTGTTTTCGATAAGAAATACAAGATACAGTTAAATGAAAACAGCCAGCCGGAAGGATTAAGCCCAAAAGAGCTTAGAATTTTCACCGATGGTTCTAAAACAAATGAAGGTGTAGGTTCTGCAGCTTTCTCTGAAGACCTCAATATTCACATATGCACACCGCTGGGTACCTATAACACGGTCTTTCAGGCGGAATGTATGGGTATCATTCAAGCGGCCATAGCAATAGATGCTAGGAAGGTTAATGACTTCCCCATCAGAATACTGACCGACAGTAGGGCGGTACTCCAAGCCCTGAGATGCAATGTGGTGAACTCGGGACTAATATATGAATGCCATCAACGATTAAATGAGGTATGTAAAAACAACAATGTGACCCTGCAATGGATAAAGGGACACAGTGGATCCAGAGGCAACGATGCAGCAGACGAACTGGCTAGAAGAGGATCGGCTTTGGCCACTATAGGGCCGGAACCAATCATACCAATCCCCTTTGGTAACGTTTGTTCACTGGTACGTAGACACTTCACTAATCAACACGCTCAGCTTTGGAAAAATCTAGTAGACTGTAGACAAGCTAGGGATGCCCTGCCTGAAATTAACAGTCGCTTAACAAAAGTTTTAATGAGACTGAACAAGCCGCAGATTAGGATAGTAACAAGTGCTATCACAGGACACGGCATCTTTAACAAACATTTATTTACTATAGGTGTTACAGATAGTCCCCTGTGCAGGGCATGTATGGGGGAGGAAGAAACGGCGGCCCACGTGCTACTGAAATGTCCGGAGGTCGCTACATACAGGGCTAAACATCTCGGCACGCCGGGATCACTCCCCGAAGTTGCATGCAACATCAAGGGCCTGTTGAGCTTCTTCGGAGAGATCTCATGGCTCGAATAATCACATTATTCCTGCCCACACGCAAAATACGCGCATAGACGTGGAGTTGCGGAAAACAGCCCGTCGTAAACTAAACTAAACTAAAAAACCTGTGACAGTGTCTTTTCATCGTCACTTAAAAATATACATACTTTTATTAAGATATTCGACTCTTCATCATCCTGAACCATATCAGGTAAATCTGATGGTTGATTTTCTATGTTTATATATGTTTTATATATATTAGAACTACATTTAAAAACATTAAAACAAAAATTTTTTTTATATATTTATATCATTATTCATAGTGATAGCACTTATAGATGTGTAACAAAATTATGAAAAAAAATTGATTTCCTGACACCACAATTTTTATTAAAGACTAGCTAACCCGGCAAACTTCGTACCGCCTAACAGTCGATTCTTGAATTTTTTTTAAAACTTATTCTACTATACGGGACACCGGGTCAGCTAGTAAGAGAAAGTTGATAAGTCAACAATTACATTATGTCAAAAACTGAAAATTATAATTGTTTTGCCTTCCCGGAACCCCTCCACTAACACTTAAACTTTATGGTATGGTATTAAAGTTCAAATTGACTTTTAAGTATTATTATGAATCTTTTGTATGGGAATATAGAAAAGTGATGTTTTTAGACTCTTGCATTTTTTTAAAATTTTTCTCTCCGTACGAACCATCTTCGTACTTCAAAGAATATTATAAAAAAAGAATTAGCGAAATTGGTTCAGCTGCTCTCGAGATTTGCGCTTAGCAACACATTCAGTGATTCATTTTTATATTATAGATGTGTAAATTTTCATTTAAAAATTAAATACAATAAAAAAATTAGCAAAATGTTATAAATGAAGCTGTTCCTATTTTCTAGGTTGCAGAATGCATTTTTCTTCTTTTCTCAAAAAAAATTATCAAGAAAAAAATGTTGTAATATCAAATTACTTTTCTTCCCTGGGAAAAGAAACATCTCTTTGAAATAAGAAATAACAAGTACCTAACAAAATTTCATACCTGTACCACAGAACAATCCGCTATTTCATTTAAAAGTGGTGTGACTCCTTATCTCAGTAGTTTCCCAGTTATCATATAATTGGTTGATATGAAATGGAGATTACAAATCGTTGCTTTTTCAAAATAGGGTCTTTTTAGTTCCACATTATTTAACCATTTATTACGTTCTGTTCAATTGGAAGGAAACCTGCAAAAATTAAGTAATAAGATATAAATTTATTTTAATTTTGATGTTCCAGTGTATCATCATTCGTGTAAGCAACGTTTCGAAATTTCACGCAAACCGAGCAGAGTACCATTCGAGAAAACCTTTTCAATTTGTAATTAAAATGAAAATATATACCCTAGTCGAAGTTATAATACAAACATGAAACGTTAATTATTAAGCAAATAACGACGTAAAATTGAAAATACCGAACCAAAATTAACATCTGAAACAAAATAACCATTTGTCTATACAGAAATAATAGCAAAGTCGAAATATCACTCACTAAAAATCAGTTTCACGTGACGCGCAGTATTTGCATGGTGTTTTGAACTTACAAATGAAATATAATATTACATCCTGGATGCCACTCACTTTTGCAACCGCGCACAATACATTTAATGACCATATTCAAAGACTACAATGTTATATAGGGAAACCATATTACTAGTTTTGGCTCTGCATTCTTCCAAAACTCTAAATCAAACTTGCAAAATGAACATAAACATAAACATTTTTTTTGGAGTTTATGGCCTGGTATCTAGACCTTTAGGCCAAGTCTTAAGTATTTTTATTCGGTTTATTGTAATTTTCCCACTCCTTCATAGTATACTGCTTCACAATATGTTGATGCGTCACATTGTGCAGTTCTTGGGAGATTTTGGCGGCAACTTGATCCAGCAGACAGCTGATAGTTGGCGATGGTATCTAAAGGTGCCTATGCAAACAAACAGCTTATCTTGAGAATCCATCACCATCAGAGCACTTGTTTCACTGTTTCCACTAATAGTTCACATGCGTAGACACTTAATAGACAAAATCGCAACACTTTTACATATCAAAGTCCACTTCAAACCATTATTTAAACAATAATACAGGAGCAGCAAACCGCCGCCGGTCAATTTCCCGCCAAAACCAAGAGACGAAACATAAACATTTTTTTTTGGAGTTTATGGCCTGGTATCTAGACCTTTAGGCCAAGTCTTAAGTATTTTTATTCGGTTTATTGTAATTTTCCCACTCCTTCATAGTATACTGCTTCACAATATGTTGATGCGTCACATTGTGCAGTTCTTGGGAGATTTTGGCGGCAACTTGATCCAGCAGACAGCTGATAGTTGGCGATGGTATCTAAAGGTGCCTATGCAAACAAACAGCTTATCTTGAGAATCCATCACCATCAGAGCACTTGTTTCACTGTTTCCACTAATAGTTCACATGCGTAGACACTTAATACACAAAATCGCAACACTTTTACATATCAAAGTCCACTTCAAACCATTATTTAAACAATAATACAGGAGCAGCAAACCGCCGCCGGTCAATTTCCCGCCAAAACCAAGAGACGAAACATAAACATCCGCCACGTGTGGGTTGCCATATAACGGCTTTTAAGAATAATTCTAAAATAGGGGAATTATGTAGGTGCTAGGCAAATAGTTCATAGTAAATATTTATTAAGTGTTTAAAAGAAAAAGCAAACTGTTGCATGAAAATCGTTTTTGTCAAGTTTTTTATCATTTTTTACCATTGATGAATTAAAAGGGGGAAGATATGTTACGCGCTCATATCGCAATCACTAAACCTAGGCTCGGCGCACGACTACATGCACCAAAACTTATACATCTGTTATCATAATCGCAAAAGTAGATTTACCGATAGACAAGGACAGATATAGGAACCGTCGTAGTTGTGCGAGCGAAATCGCGTTAGTTATTCGCGTATGGTGTCTCTCACGCATGTTTGTATTATCTATCTCGCTCTCACAAACATGGCGAAGTCAACAATAAATATTATCATAATTTTCAACAAAATAAAATTTTTAGCTATAATTACGGTTGGAAAGTAATTCCGTGTATCTTATTTTTCTTTCTTGAATTATTAGAACATTGTTTAGCTGCACAAGAAGTCATTTTAGTGCGTATTTAATACCAAAAGAACTGAAATTAAAGAGCTGTATGATCAACGAAGTTCCGCGTGCGACTGAGTGTCACTACGAGCCAAGTACGGGCAATCCCGTAGTTTTGTAGGGCCGGGCGCTGTTATTTAGTGACATATCTTCCCCTTTTAATATATCAATGTTTTCTACTTATAATTCTTGCCATACTGACAAACTTATACTGAAATTCATAATGGCTGTCAATGGGGAAATATTAGTCGTCACGTTGGCTATCCAGTAGGGAAAAGAAGGGTTACATTACGGTCATTTGATTATTTGAGTGTGGGTTCCAGTTTGTCTATACTTCCGTGACTGGCGTAAAGACGACTTGACAGCCCCCAAAACGCGTGTCTAATTTTTATTTGTCATTGAGTGTGTTAGCTAGTGATGTACATTTTACTTACAAGGACTATCGAAAAATGATTGTTAAATATTTATTTTATAGGATAGGGTGACAAACGAGCACACAGTCCACCTGATGGTAAGTGGTTACTGTTACCCATAGACATCTACATCTATCCTCAAGAAAGGCTCAAGATGCAGATGCGTTGTCACCCGTGAGGACTAAGATGGAATGCCTCTTTGCCAGTAAAAAGGGTCTCCGGTTCTCTACACTCACCATACGAAACACAGCAGCATTAAGCTGCTATTTGACGCTGGTATTCTGTGAGAGCGTGGTCCTTCCCCGGTCGAGCCAACACATTCGCGGTACAAATATACTATTAATATAGCTGCAGCATGGCTCTACCACGTATAAAGTGGTAGAGCCATACCACGTAAACAGTAAAAAGATTTAAAAAAAAATTTAGTGCTCGAAATTGAAAAGCTTCGAAAATTAACTGAATTTTCAGCATGATAGTTCTGAAATAATTAAATAATATTCATATAACATGTTCCTGGGAATAAGCTGAACCTGAAAGGCAGGTATTTTTGGATATTAATTCAAATGTATAAAATCCCAGGTGACTGTACCTATAAACTTAAAAAAAGAACCCCCAAGAATCAGATCGGAAAGTTGTATTTTCGGGCTATGATCCTTGGAGAAAAATATTTACTGTCATGGTAAGTTTCCCCGGAATTTTTTTTTAACATATGGTTAATATAAATAGGTAGATACTTAATTAAGTGTATACCTATTTATATTTAATATACTTTATAAAATGTTTTGATAGGTAAATAAAAAACGGGGACACGGAGTACATAATGGCTGCTTTATTTTTCATATAAGTATTACGGTGCGTACACATAAAACGTTGTTATATAAATTGTTTCAGTAATATGGAGGCTGAATGTTATAAAACTTGTTATATAACGTGACACAAATATTATATAAGAACGGCAGAACGACAAACGACAATGTCATACGACAATGTCTTATAACATTGTTATATTGCATTGTTATTCTAATGTGTACAGTATTGTTATATGTTGCTATAAAACAAAAGTAACACAACATGTTACTTAATCTGTACGCACCCTTACTTTTGATAATTACAAACATTTAACAATTAATAATTAAATAGATTATAGAATATTGTTTTAACATTCGCATGAATCGTGCATCGGGCATTGTGAATATCAAATAATACGAAATTTATACTATCCTGGCACATTGAACCGCGCGTCTCATACGCGGGCGTCTAGTGGCGCTTCAAAAGCATTACTAAATATATTTTATCTAAATACGCTAAAAATTTTATCATTGTGACTTGTGAATATAATCCGAAGCTCTGCGCAACCCTTTGGAGAAAATAGCATTTTTTCAAAAGGAATATTGCACTAGTGACCGTGAGGTGCGGGTGGTAGAGTAAGGTTATACATTTTTTTGGTTGATAAATAGATACTTAGTTGCCTATTTACCTATTTACCTGTGAAATGTACAATTACCAGGATTATTTCTATTATTTACACCAGTCACTTTCAGAACAAGTAACCAGTTTGGAAAAAAGTTACTTAGTAAAAATAACCACTATTACCTTAAAAAATTACAAAAATCTGGGAGTTTATTTCTTGTTTGCCGACTTGTTACAGAGTCATGAGATTTGGTATTCTTTTCTATCTTGCATTTTTGTGATAAGGAATTTTCTTCTCCCTCGCACTCTATGTCAGTCTTTACGCTAGTATATTTCGGTTACGGGCGGATTTTTTAAAAAGTATACCTAAGTTGAAATGAAGGTCCTAATTTTTAATTCATATGTTTCAATGTGTCGTTGAATTCATAAAATATATTAGTTGATTTTCAATAAAATGTATAATATATTTGAATAACTGCTATAAATTAATTATAATAAGTTAATGAAATTCAGTCATAGGACTTTGCGTTCCACTGAATAACAGTTTAATATCTAACACAGTGAATTAAATAAAACGGGTTCAATAAAAATCATATTTTTATATATATAATATATGTTTGTAGATGAAAAAAAATAAACATTTACTTTTGACAACAGAATTAAAAATTAATATAATCGTATGTTTATATCCTCCGACTAACTTGTTGACTAATCAGTTGCGTGTTTTTCTTTGTAACTATTTATATAACCATTTATTACTGTTTTGTCAAATAATTTTTCGAAATAACAAAATTGTTGTCTTCATTACAAAAATTAAAATATTATTAACTGAACATGAAAGCGAAAATAAGCCCTTTTATAGATTTTTGTTACTAGGACTGTTAATCATTGGAACATTGAATATATTCAATGGAAAAGTAAGGTCTCTGATTGCAATGAAGGTATTTTTTGCCAATTTTAATTTCTTTACAAACATATTGAAATTAAATAAAACTAATTTTACGGATTTTATCGTGTATATTAACTTATTTTACATTCCCGACGTTTCAAGCACTTTACCGCACCCATGGTCACGGGGGGGACTGAGGTGTATGACGTCCCAATGTCATAGTTAACCACGGCTACCTCCAGATTATGGAGTGTAGAGTACAAGGAGAACCATCTTATAAAGGGCGAAATTTGAAAAAGTGTCCTACTATTTACTGAAAATAGAGGTTCCAATACCTACCACAATAGCGCTGGCGTCTGAAAAACTACGATATGAAGATAGCTGTTGTGAACGGAGTGAAGTCAGCTGAATTCAAATATTTAAAAAATTTCATGATTAGAGTAGTTAGTAAAATGCCAGTATACAAAATCACAACTATTTACGTAGTACAAAACTAACTATTCTAATTACTTTTGGCGCTTTTTTTTAATTTATCCTATGCTACTGCAGCGCCACCCTTATTGGACACGTTTTTAGGGACATTTGATGGTCCTCCTTCTTTCTACACTCCATTACTCCAGATTAAAAATTATTAATTTTTGTTCCTATCTACGCAGTATGAACTTACAGTATCATGAAGTCTTGTAGTTGTATGCTTGGGTTGGGATTTAATTTTATTAATTATGGGATCCCAAGCAGATGGTAGCACCCAGCCATCTTCTCTATTGAAATTAGGATGTTTTTTGATTTCAATAGCCTCGCGAATCATCCTTGGAGGAATCGGTGTTCTTGAGCGAGGATTTGTGGTCTATCAAATCAAATGT